TGGAGTGGGTAGCCATTCCCTTCTCCAGGGGATCTTCCTGACCCAGGGATCGAACCCATGTCTCCTGCATTGCAGGCAGATTCTTTACTGTCTGAATCACAAGGGAAGCTGTAAGCAGCCTTCTCACTTCTTTCTGAAAGTGCTCATAAAAGCCAACGGCAGCACCGTGGCCCCTGTCTATGAAGTGCCCTCACCCACAGCATTCATCTAGTGCGTGGAAAATAGTTCCTCCACTTCTTACATGTTCTTAGGGAAAAAAGAACCTCACAGCTTGGGCCATGGTAACACCTCCAGGACTTATCAAATGACAAGCTGACAGGCTATCAGATGATGAATTCATCTGGTGTGCAGTTGCCTTGTTGTCTGGTTTGGATTCCAACTTCCTAAGAAAATTATCTCGACTTGTGCGGTGCCAGGGAACCTGTTTGTTCAGACACGTCAGGCTCTCCATCTCTGCCAGTTTTCACAAAACAGACTGGCTCTGCCGGGTTGGGGGTGGTGGTGGGGGACCGGCGTCTCGCAGAGGTAGGAGTCACAGAAAGCTGCCTGCCAGCCCGTCCGTGGGAGAGCATTCAGTTCCATCTCGGTCTCACAGGAGAGCAAAGCATCAGGGCGCTGTGATCCTCCCATGCCAGCAGAAACGTGAGGGTGGCTCAGACCTACTGCTGCTGAGCTGAGGCCACGGGTGTGCTGGCGGGGGCGCTGGGAGGAGAGGAGGACACTGCTCTCTGAATCCAGTGCTCACATTACTTTTGGTGCCAAGAGCTCTTTTAACAAAGATACATGTGGCTCAGCCTAGGTTTTTAGATCCTCCAAGCCTAGGTTCCTGAAGAGCCCCGGAGATGCGGTCAGTTACATGCGTGATGTTTAACTATACTTTTCTTAGATTTTCTCATGGATTAGCATCAAATACCATCACCCTGAGAAACAATGTAAAGAATGTTATTATCACAATGAAAAGCAAAACTCTAGGCTTTCCACATTTAAAAATAAAAAAAAAAAAAGACTGGAGGAAAAATCGGTTTGAGCACTGAGATAATTAGGTTTCATTTTAGTGCCTCTGCAGTCTTACGTTCTGTAGCTGCTGCAGTGGTGGCAGCAGTTTTATCTTCCTGCTGACTTGAAGGTCACCGCCAGAGTGATGCCTCCCTGACGGCACGTGTCCATGGCATTGCCGGGCAATCTGGGTGATGTCCCGTCATCCAGTTGCCTTTATAATGACCTGACCTGGAACTGAGGCTCCAGAGATCACCTGAGAGGAGAAAATGGGCCAATCACCAGGCAGTCTTCAGTGAGTCAGTGCAGTGAGATGCAAAGATGAGAATTCTCATGTGTTCCTGAACAGGCCCTGAGAGTACATTTCTTCAGCATCTCAGGTTAATGTTGTCACTCCTGTGATACAGTCAGAAAATAGATGTGTTACTTATCCACATACACTATTGTGAGAGTCTGTGACTCAGCCTCCATCTCAGGTTTAAAGAATATATTTACGCACTACAGATAAAAACAGCCCTGATGGCGGTATCCATATGGGAAATTCGATGCCACTGCCACCCCAGGGATAACTTAAAAGGCTAGTAAAAACAAAGATGCCTTGGATTATTACCAGAATTCTTTCATGGAAACAAGATGCGTTTGAAAAAATGATGATCTGTCAGTGAAGAGGTCTACAAAAGAGAGGGCAAGAGAAAAATGACCAAACTCCTCTACTCGAGTGTGGGACCAGTAATGATGCGGAGACTATCAGGTTGCCATGGAGATGCTCTCTGGCTCGTTGGCTTCGAGGCTGCACCCCATCAGAAGCCAACACACTCTCTCTCTTCTAAACTTGAAATGTGAATGCATGGGGTACTCATTTCTCTTCTACCATGCACCTAAAACAAGGTGGAAAAGATCAAAGAGGTCTACGGCAGGGCCCACGCTGAAAATATTCTAGCTGCCAGCTTGCACACATGCGATGACTGCAGCCCGGGACGGCTCAGAAAAGGTAATTAAGTGCCTGGAAGTGAAGTGTGAACAAGAAGCGGTATCTGAGATCAGGAAAGACATAGCTGAGCTTGAGCCAAAATTACCAAGAAGGCCTTTTGTTGTTGTTCAGTCACTGAGTCATGTCCAACTCTTTGTGGCTGCGTGGACTGCAGCACGCCAGGCTTCCCTGCCCTTCAACATCTCCCAGAGTGTGCTCACACTCATGTCCGTTGAGTCGGTCATGCCATCCAACCATCTCATCCTCTATTGCTGCCTTCTTCTCCTGCCTTCAATCTTTCCCAGCAAAAAGGCCTTAGGGGCTGAGAATTAGAGACATTAGCAACATCTGGCTCACTGTAAGCATTTAATGAAGGAGCAGAGAGGAGGGTGTCCTGGGAAGGGATGAGCAGGGCTGAAATGTTGACCAGCCAGAGAGGACACCACTCACTATGGTGGAGGGACTTGGTGAGTAAGTAATGCAGTGAAGAGTGTTAGGCAAGATTAGGGACCATAACTGAGATTCAGTTTCAGAGGCCCTGGAGTTTGATTTTAGATCTGTGAGTAGGGTGGTGATACATAACTAAAGCCATATTTTACAAACATTGCTCAATAGTTAAAGCTCAGGAGAGATGGGACAGGAGTGAAACTCGAGGCCGGGAGAGGTATTGAAAGCCTGGACCTGGGTGGATGTGGTCCTTGAGGAAAGAAGGGGATATTGACAAGAAAGCCTTCATAGCATGTGATAACAGCAGGGAGGAAAGGGATGGAGGTACGGGAGCTCCTTTCCTGAACAGGTAGGCTCCAGGACCCCATGTGAACTCAGGAGTCAGACCTGGCTTCCAGCTGGCGGTAGATCTGGTCTTCTGTTCTGGGGCATTCAGCAAAAAGACAAAAAAGTATTGCAGAGGATTTTTAAGATATGAGCCTATTCTGTATGGTGCTATTACGGTGGATATATGTCATCATACAGTTTTCAAAACCCATAGGATGTGCCACACCAAGAGTGAATCCAAATGTAAACTACAGACTTTAGGTGATAATGACGTGTTAGTTTAGGTTTGTTTTTTGTTTTTTTTTCTTAATCTGACTGTGCCGGCACGTGGGATCTTTTCGTGCAGCATGAAAACTCTTAGTTTTGGCATGTGGAATCTAGTTCACCAACCAGGGATCAAACCTGGGCCCCCTGCATTGGGAGCTTTGAGTCTTAGCCACTGGACCATGAAGGAAGTCACTCAGTTTAGGTTTATCATTTGTGACAAATGGGCTGCTCAGTTGAGGGGTGTTAGTAGTAAGGGAGGCTGTGCACGTGTAGAACCAAGTGGTTTGTGGGGACTCTGTATTTTCTACTTCGTTTTGCTCTGAGCCTAAAACTGCTCAGAAAACTTGACAGTCTATTAAAAAACAAGAACAAAAATAGTGCAAATTGCCAGAGTTGGCATCAAAGGCCCAATAGATAGGCAGTATGTGTTCAAAGGTCAATCTGTGGACAGAGAAGAATAAACCACCATGAAAAGCAACCAATACATCATTAAATGGAGTAAACATAGAGGAAATAAATTGGAGAAAGAAGAGATGGTTGAAGCTGAGCCTTCCTTTGAAGGAACCCACAGGCTTCACCGACCCGTGCGGATTCGTCAGGATGAAAGGAAGGGCCCAGGCCCATGTGGCAGGGAAGACATGAAGGGATCATGACCCAGAGATGGGAGTTTCATCATAAACATAGGGGGGCGCTGCAGCCGCATTCCTATCTCCTTGTTGGGAAAGTTAAATATTCCCAGCGTGTTACCACAAGTGCTGATGACATTTTATGGGGAAGAAGAGACAGAAAACCAAGGTCTTTCTCTTACTTCTGTGATTTGTGACCCAAGATTAAGTATTTGCTTTGATCCTGGTTTGTCCGTTTGTTTGATTGATTAAACCATTCAAATGAGGATCACAGTTTTGGATGGTAATATCATTGACACGATCTGTGTGATTTTTTAAAGCATTTTGACCCCTTAGAAAAAAAAGGATGCTCTGGCTACCTAATATTGTAGTATGGAAAAAGACTCATTAGAATCTGAAAGAAGGCAGTTCAAAATAAGTGTGTTAAATAGACTACACAATGTATGATTAATATCACTACTAACATCTTATCTCCCATCAGGGCGCGCTGCCTTATGTTGAGTATTCATGAATAGGTCAAGTTTGTTGATTACATAAAGACCCATAATACACAAAAGCTTTATATTGATGGTACCTAAACTATGTAGATTTTTAAAAATCCACCTGACGAAGTACTTAAAGGTGCTGTCTGATGAGTGGTTTAGTGTAACTTAGGGTCATTTCACACTCTCAGATTCGTCTCTGGATGAATTACCTTCATCTCGCAGCAGAGTCGAGTTATTGCTTTAACAATGCCCATGCCTGGGGTTAAATGTTTACCAGCCAGCTAATCAGAACTCAAGAGAGTACAAGGTAGACATCATTTTACAATTAGCTTCATTACAGCTGGAATGCCATCATTCCAGCATCACCTCTTTTCATTTCTCACTGCAAAGCTTTAAAATAATTATAGAGACACATACAACTTTAGGTACCAGTTATGCAAACAGACAGCACTGATTTTCATAAGGCTAGACAAAGACACACACCTATGCACATCTATACAGTTATTATATCTTTGCCATCTTTATACCAGAAACAGATTGTTTTACGTAAGTGTCATGTGAAATGAGATTTTGCATTTTCTTAACCATGAAATAAAAAAATCTGATTTACAAATTAGGCACTGGGGATCCATGTTAAAAAATCACTGTAAACGTATATACTTATCTACATATATTCAGCATGTTTTGAATTGCTAATTTAAGAGCAATATAATGGTGGTCTTTTACATATAGGCAGTAGTTTGGAAATGCAAAAAAAAAATACCGATTCCATCTTAAGCAGAGTCTTGAAATTGTGGTTGAAGTTTGAGCAAAGGAAAGAATATTTGCTGAAGATCTTACACTTGCACAGTAATGATGTTTCATGTCGCTCTCTCCTCGTAGGCCACGCAGTGCAGATTATTTTATGCAAGAAGCTAAGCGAATGAAGCATAAAGCAGATGCGATGGTAAGACCTTTTCTCTCCAGATCTGTTCCTCCAAATTACGTTTGTACTGCAGCTTCATCGCTGGGGCAGCATAGCCAGGATAATTATAAAATCTATTACAAGGATGGCTGGGTCTGTTAAATGCAGAAGTGTTTATATAATCCAGGGCTCATGGCCCAATAAATTATGACCTCAACTAATAATGTCTGACTTGGAGGAAGCCCTGGATAAACAAATATTTCAATTTAGTCCTAAAGTTTGAATGGGAACCAGAGGCAATGGAGTCAGTGGGTGGTAGTTTTTTGGGTGTTTTTCCCTTAAAAAAAAAAAAAAAAAGGTTTACATTTTTCTCCCTTCTTAGCCTAGCCAATCCTTGGCTTGGTCCCAGGATCAAATCCCTTTTCAAAAAGACTTTTGTTCTTCATGTGTACCTGCCAAAATAAATACTTCCTCTGAAACTGGACAACCGAGAAACTATTACACACACACAAGACCATAAAGTTACTATGATTTGATGGTTTCAAAGAATAAGTTTTCTTATTTGGGAAAGCTTAACGCCTTCAGGCAAGAAGGCCTGATTTTTTTCTGTAAGAGATCATACGGTTGCTCCATCTGAAAATCTCATCCTGAAGGACTCCTTCTTCCTTGGTCATTTCAGTTCTGCTCCCCTCCAGTGTTCATAACTGAAATCAGGGCACTAGAGACGAGTTAGACATCTCAAATGACCTTTAATTCAGTTCAGTCCTCAGACATGTCAGCCTCTTTGCGACCCCATGAACCACAGCGTGCCAGGCCTCCCTGTCCATCACCAACTCCTGGAGTTTACCCAAACTCATGTCCATTGAATTAGTGATGCCATCCAGCCATCTCATCCTCTGTTGTCCCTTTCTCCTCCTGCCTTCAGTCTTTCCCAGCATCAGGGTCTTTTCCAGTGAGCCAACTCTTCATATCAGGTGGCCAAAGTATTGGAGTTTCAGCTTCAACATCAGTCCTTCCAGTGAACACCCAGGACTGATTTCGGTTTTTGTTTTTTTTTTTTTCATTTATTAGTTGGAGGCTAATTACTTTACAATATTGTAATGGTTTTTGTCATACATTGACATGAATCAGCCATGGATTTACATGCATTCCCCATCCTGATCCCCCCTCCCACTTCCCTCTCCACCTGATCCCTCTGGGTCTTCCCAGTGCACCAGGCCCGAGCACTTGTCTCATGCATCCAACCTGGGCTGGCGATCTGTTTCACCATAGATAATATACATGTTTCAATGCTGTTCTCTTGAAACATCCCACCCTCGCCTTCTCCCACAGAGTCCAAAAGTCTGTTCTGTACATCTGTGTCTCTTTTTCTGTTTTGCATATAGGGTTATCATCACCATCTTTGTAAATTCCATATATATGTGTTAGTATGCTGTAATGTTCTTTATCTTTCTGGCTTACTTCACTCTGTATAATGGGCTCCAGTTTCATCCATTTCATTAGGACTGATTCAAATGAATTCTTTTTAATGGCTGAGTAATATTCCATGGTGTATATGTACCACAGCTTCCTTATCCATTCGTCTGCTGATGGGCATCTAGGTTGCTTCCATGTCCTGGCTATTATAAACAGTGCTGCGATGAACATTGGGGTGCCCCGTGTCTCTTTCAGATCTGGTTTCCTCAGTGTGTATGCCCAGAAGTGGTATTGCTGGGTCATATGGCAGTTCTATTTCCAGTTTTTTAAGAAATCTCCACACTGTTCTCCATAGCGGCTGTACTAGTTTGCATTCCCACCCACAGTGTAAGAAGGTTCCCTTTTCTCCACACCCTCTCCAGCATTTATTGCTTGTAGACTTTTGGATAGCCTGATCTCCTTTAGGATGGACTGGTTGGATCTCCTTGCAGTCCAAGGAACTCTCAAATGACCTTCAGGGTATTATTCTTCCAGGGTTGCAGATGCATAAATTGTAACCTCATGCTCCCCAATGCTACTGAGGTTGCCCACCAAGCGTTTATTAGTATAAAGCTAATTCCTGGGTCCAGTGGTATACAGGGGAAATAATCACAGAGTATCAGAAAATACAGAAGGGAAGTAGGAGGTAGAGTTCTTATCCTCACAGTCCCACAGTCTGATGGAGCACGGGTCCCCAGCTGCTGTGCCACAGACCACTACTGGTCTGTGATTTGTTAGGCACCGGACCGCATGGCAGGAGGTGAGTGGTAGGCAAGCAAAGCTTCATCTGTATTTACAGCTGCTCCTCATTGCTCATTACTTCCTGAGCTCTGCCTGTCAGATCTGCAGCAACATTCTATTCTCTTAGGAGTGTGAACCCTACTGTGACCTGCAAGTTTGAGGAATCTAGGTTGTGCACTTCTTATGAGAATCATCCCAAAACCATCCCCTGACTCCAGTCTGGAAAAATTGCCTTCCAGAAAACTGGTCCCTGGTGCCAAAAAGTTTGGGGACCTCTGTGATGGAGAGGTCTGGTTGCCAGCAGAAGCCAATGCATGGTCACATTGAATTTTAAAGCAGGAAATTTCCTGCCTGAATCGTCCAAGGTTTACCAGGATTCTTCATTCCGTGTCTCCTTGCCCAGCCTGGCCTTTCCCAGTGACACTGCGCTGCATCCACATTGGCCCCCTGCCGCCTCTGAGCACACCTGACTTGTGCCAGCCGGTGGGCTTTGCAGCTGCAGAGGGCACATTCGCAGTATCTCACACATACACACTCTCACTGTCGTGCATACTCACACCTTCAGTGTCCTCCCCAGATTCCACCAGATCATACTTCCCTTCCTGGGTCGCCTTCTGGGTCCCTTCAGGTCTCCTCCCTGAGGACCCAGCCTCCCTGGAGCCCTGCCACTTGCTCCCTCCTGCCCTCCCTTTGCCATTGGACCCCTTTGCATTTCACTAGTTAATCATGGACTCCCTTGCACTTGGAGCTATCTCTTGAATGCACATTTTTTTTCTCTAAATACATGTTCCTAGAAGGAGCTTTTGTGTGTCAAGTGCAAATCACACAGAATCGGGTACTTCAGCAAATACTTGTTGAAAGAAATGACTTCCTTAATCTAAAAGCACTGCCAAGAAATACTCCTCTTAGGTTTAAAGCTGTTTAAATTTTTGATTTGCTAACACAGGAGAGTTTTACCTTACATTTCCGTTTCCTAAGGTGTCATGAATAATGAGAGGGTTTTTTTAAGAGGCAAGACTTAGATCAGTAGTTAAGAGTCTCTGTAATTCTGTTTTGTTTGATGAATAAATGTTTGAAAACCTGGCAGATTATCCAATCCCAATTTAGAATGTGTTATCCATCAAGAGTAAGAATGTATGGAACCACGAATCTGATGTATACATTTAGATTTATGAGAACCTAAGAATGTAAAGCTGATATAGGGAAAGATTAACATAAGTTTAGACGGTCTACAATCTCCTGCACGGGCTTCCCCTGTGGCTCAGACGGTAAAGAACCGACCTGCAATACAGGAGACACAGGTTCAACTCCTGGTCAGGAAGATCCCCTGGATAAGGGATTAGCTACCCACTCCGGTATCCTTGCCTGGAGAGTCCCATGGACAGAGGAGCCTGGCGGGCTGTAGTCCATGGGGTCACAAAGAGTCGGACAGGACTTAGCAGCTAAACAACAGCAACAAATCCTCCCAAATCAGTTCTATTAATGTTCAACATTGTGTCCAAGCTGATATCATTCCTTGAGCTTTACTTCCTCTCCCTTTCTTTCCTCACCCTTAGGGCGGAGTCCTATTCATGAAACAACTGAAAAATACGTAACTACACGAAGACATGGAGATGTATTGGGTTGACCAAAAAGTTTGTTTGGGTTTTGTTTTTTTTTTGTAAGATGTTACAGAAAAACCAAATGCACTTTTTGGCCATCCTAATAGATGTCACAAACAGTGTAAAAGATAATAAGCAAGGCCTTAAATTGTCCAAGTAGGAGTATACCATAAAAATGTGAAAACTCTTACATAGAGTCAGACCCATCAGCTTACACATATATTAATATTTAGCACAACAGCAAGGACCAAGGGGTGAAGTTGATTTGACCGTTAGGGGTTAAGAAAGAGGACAGTAGAAATTAAAGCAGCCGTGAAGTTCTGTGTAATTCTGATTGTGATGTGGATTTGGCATAACTCTGTATAACCATTTACTCACTTGCCCTAAACCAGCAGGAATCTGTGAAAATAACTAGAGAAGGAATTATACCCTATTTCTACCTTTTCTGGGCTCCATTTGCAAGACTTTGGAACTTCAAAGTCGAGTTTCTCAAATAAAGTATGTAGATTTTGTGACAACGCTGTTTGAAAAACTCTTCTTGAGGAAGACACTGTTCACTGTCTTGACCAGGTGGAAAAGTTTGGAAAGGCTCTGAACTATGCAGAAGCAGCCTTGTCATTCATTGAGTGTGGAAATGCCATGGAACAGGGCCCCATGGAGTCCAAATCTCCTTACACCATGTATTCAGAGACAGTTGAGCTAATCAGGTAAGTGCTGCGTTTTCTTCCAAGGGGGCAGTGCAGGGAGGTGGAGGGAAGAATATATATGTATAAGCACTGCGAACACAGAAAAGATCATACCATCTGGGTCAAAATAGTGAGCAGGCCTGCCATTGCAATATCAAGCAGGTGCTGGAGGGTATGCAAAAATGGTATTACAATGCTGTCGGGTTCAGCACACTGGGCTTACTGTGAGCTGATACAGTATATGAGAAATACAATGTAAAAGAAGCCATGAGAAGGCTTCCTGGACTTTTGTGATGACAGGGGGTATATATTAAGAGAGCACTGGACCTGAACATGAGGAAACAGGTCTTGCCTTTAGTGACAGAATATGAGGAGGATAAAGTCTACCTTGAGCCATACCCTGAAAGAGGGTATTCGGGAAAGTAATATTATTTAGATTTGTATAATCTAAATTCTAACTCCAATCAATAAATGATTCGGGAGTATTTAATAACAGGAAAAGAAGGTGCAAGGGGACTTTCAGAAAGGAAACCCATCCGATGATGCTCTGTCTGAAAAGGCCCTGGGCTTGTTCTGGTCTAAGACTTGGACCTGAGCACCGTCCCCCAGCCTGAGTTAGGACCACAGGGCGAACAGACGCAGGCTTTGTGACAGGGGCACAGCAGGGCCACGGGCGGGAGACGCCTGCCTTCCATGAGGGCTGCGTGGAAAGGCACATCCTTCATGTCGCTAATGAACCATTAAGGGAATTTCATCCATTAATCTTTCTGAGAGAGCCTTTGTCATGTTTTATGTCTTTAGCTGGTTCAGCTGCTCGGAATAACGTCTAATATGCATTATATGAAATAACCCTTCCCAAAATTAACTTTAAGAGATTTTTCTAATTCTGGAATTCTAGGCCACCTGAGAGTAGCTGTGTTTTACCATGCCTCACTATTCCAGATGGAAAATGTCTTATTTATTTGTGGCTGGGTTGGGTATTCGTTGCTGGGCACAGGCTTCCTCTCATTGTGGAGAGCAGGGCCTGCTCTTCGTTACGGGGTGTGGGGCCATTCATCACAGGGGCCCCTCTTATCTCAGAGGACGGGCTTAATTGCTCTGCTTCATGTGGGCTCCTCCCAGACCAGGGCTGGAACCCACGTCCCCAGTACTGGCAAGCGGATTCTTAACCACTGGACTTCCAGAGAAGTCCTGGAAGATTTCTAATCATCCTAAATTTAATCTTCTTGGTATGCGTTGACCCAAGTCAACAGTGTTTTCCATCACTCTCCTTTGAGATTCAGGAAAGGACAACTTTTGAAATTGTCATCCCAACATCAAGAACACATTATCTGCAAAACGCACTTTTCAAGAATGTTTTGGAAGTCAATGCTGTCCAGCCCTTTTTCTTATTAAAATATTTCTACTACACCAATGCGTTGGTGATTCCTTCGTACTGTCTTCTTATTTGGTACAGTATTTTGGACTGTGAAGAAAAGAAATTGCCATAGTTAAAAAAAAAAAACACAAAACTTAAAATTACTTTAAGAGATCTTGTTGTTGTTCAGTTGCTAAGTTTTGTCCGACTCTTTGCGACCCCGTGGACGCAGCGTGCCAGGCTGTCCTTCACTGTCCCCAGGAGTTTGCTTAGACCCACGTCCATGGAGACCTTAGTTTCTCATGTTTCGTGCTCTGAATAAGGCACAGACATGGACGCCCACAGGCAGGCAGGGAAGAAAGTGGGAGGAAGCAGACAGGCACAGTGCTGCAAGGGATCCTAGAATGCAAGTGCCTTGAGCACAGGGGTTTGGCCCCACACCCCGTAACGAATGGCCCCGTAATGATCTGTTCATTAATGTGTTCATAGCCCCGGGAGGAGTTCCCAGAACATAGTACACATTCAGTCAACATTACAGATCAGCAGGTCACAGGGCCTGTGGTGAACTGGAGTGTACGTGGTCTGCTTAAGGCATTCACACTTTAAGAACAAACAAACCCAAACAGCAGTAATTGCCTGATTGTATCAGATACGACTGGAGGTGCTGACATGTTCACCTGCTCTGCACCAGGGATGGGACTTGGTGTGGGTGGAGAATACAGTCCATTTTTTAGATGATTGAGTCGAGTCCCTTAAGCTACTCTGAAAACTAAAATAAGAGCTCTTCTTATCTGAGTTAGAAGATAACATTAATTTACTGCTTGAAACTGCATGTTGCCCACCAGGTTTGAGACTCCCTTACCCCACTGAGAGACTCTGGGGAGCCAGGAGCACTGCTGGGGGTGGGGGTTGGGGGGTTCCTTCCACAGATGCCCAGCTGACGGTGTCAGAGAACTCCTCTCTCCACCAAGGAGAAAGTGCCTGGGGGACACTGGCAAGTGGAACCTCACCTCCTCAAACCAAAAATTACACATTGTAGACTTCCTTGGAGGTCCAGTGGTTAAGACTCCACACTTTCATTTCAAGGGGGCATGGGTTCAATCCCTTTTCAGGAAACTAAGATCCCACAAGCCAAAATGTTGGAAAAAAATTGTAGCACAAAGTTTCTGAAAATTAAATTGTTAATGGAACCACAGCCCACAGAAGTAGGCTAGGACTTGCCTCTCAAACCTCAACAGGATGACTTCCTTTTAAAAGAAAATATTTAAACAGGACCCAGAATCTTCTAACATAATAGCCAGAATAGCTTACATACAGTAGAAATTCACTCATCATACCAAGAAACAAGAAAATCACAGCCAAGATAAGAAAAGACAGTTGGTTGACACCAGTAATCAGGATGAATCAGATGTTAGAATTATATGACAACGATTTTAAAGCAACTATCATAAAAATGCTTCAACAAACAATTACAAATTCTCTTGAAACAAAAAAATTAAAGTCTCAACAAAGAAGTTATTTTGGAAAAGAACCAAGTGGAAATTATGGAACTGAGAAATGTAACAGAAATATAAATCTCATTGGAGGGGCACAGTAGTAGAGAGGAGGTGACAGAGGATAGAATCAATGAACTTGAGAACAAGAAACAGAACCTACCCCCAACCTAAGCAACCAAGAAAACAGACTGAAAAAGAAGTGGAGAGCTTCAAGCACAATGACAATAGAACCACCAGGTCATCTTTGGGGTCCCAGAAGAAGGAACTGAAAGACATGTTAAAGAAGTAATGGCTAGGGCTTCCGTGGTGGTTCAATGGTAAAGAATCCCCCTGCCAATGCAGGAGACATGGGTTCCATCCCTGGTCCAGGAGGATCCCACATGCTTCAGAGAAGCTGAGCCCAGGAGCCACAGCTGCTGAAGCCCAGATGCTCCGGAGCCTGCGCTCCACAAGAGGAGAAGCCACAGCAGTGAGACGCCCTCACCCCACAACTCGAGAGCAGCCCCCACTCACCACAGCTGGAGAAAAGTTCACGCAGCAAAAGTGGCCCCGCACAGCCAAAAGTCAGTAAATAGAAGGAGTGTTTTTTAAGAGAAGTAATGACTGAAACTTGCCAAATTTGGCAAAAGGCATAACCCTACAGGTTCAGGAAGCAGAGAAAGTTCCAAACAGCCTAAAGCCAAAGCAACGCATGTCGGTACACCATCAAAACTACATTTCTGACAACTGAAAACAAAGACAAAGTCCTGAACGCAACGAGAGACGAGTGACACATTCCCTGTCGGGACACCAGTTCCGGTAACAGCAGATGTGCGGCCTGAAACCATGTGGGCTGGAAGCGGCATGCCGTGCTTCCAGTGCTGAAAGAAGAAACCTGTCTAACTATCACTTAGATTCAGGGAGACCTCGTTCTTCAGGAATAAAGAGGAAATCAAAATATTCTCAGACTAAGGAAAATGAAGTATGTTTCTAACAGACCTACCTTTAAAGGTTGGCTGAAGGAAGTTTCTCAAACAGAAAGGAAGCGGCAAAAGAAGGAATCTTGGAGCAATAGGAGGAAAGGAAAAGCAGCATAAGCGAAGGACTGTGGGCACAGGCAATAAACCACCCTCCTCGTGAGTTACCTAAGCCAGAGTGCTCAGTGCGCGAAACAGAAACCATCCCACCGTCTGTGATCAGTGCACGCTGTTAGTGCTCCGTCGTGTCTGACTCTCTGCGACCCCGTGGACTGTAGCCCACCAGGATCCTCTGTCCCTGGATTTCCCAGGCAAGAATACTGGAGTGGGGTGCCATTCCCTTCTCCAGGGGATCTTCCGGACCCAGGGATCAAACCCAGCAGGTCTCCCACATTGTAGGCAGATTCTTTACCACCTGAGCTACCAGGGAAGTCCATCTGATGCTCAAGGCAATGTATTTAAAGGCATAAACATGGAAGTAAGGTTTCTACTCTTCATGCAGAGTAGAAAATGTTGATTCCAATTAACTGTGAGCAACAGCTATGAGAACTAAACAAAGGGGATACACTCGAAAAGGGAGGGAGGTTCAAGAGGGAGGGAACATAAATATACCTACGGCTGATTCATGTCGATGTCTGGCAGAAACCAGCACAATGTTGTAATGCAATTATCCTCCAATTAAAAATGAATAGGTTTTTCCACACTCGCCCTATGCGATGGCCCACACTCTGTGCAGTCTGCTTTTCTCTGAATCTGAATAAATCCATTTCTTACCTATCAAAAAATAAATAAGTAAAATTTTTAAAAGCACCTCAAATCTTCATGTGTTGGAGACAGTGTAATAACAGTATCATTTCTTGAGCAACTTGCAACAAGCCAGCCCACTATGCTAAGAGTTTTACAGACACCGTTTCACTTAATCTCTACAGCAGTGCTATGCGATCAGCAGTAATGTACTCATCTTACTTTATAAATAAGGGAAAGGAGGCTTAAAGATGTTAATTGTGTAAGCTCCCCTAACTAATAAGTGACTAATCTGGGATTTGAACCCAGGACTCCCTGACTGTTCCCCAGCCTGCCTCAGGCCTCTCCAAGGATCTGCAAGTACCTTGGTGTATTATTGGAGAAAGGAATGACGATGGACTGCTGGTTCAGAGAAATAAGTGAGATTGAGTAAAGTTCATAAAATCTACTAGTTATGCATCCAGGATACTGCTGTCAAAATAAGAGTTTTGTAACAATAAAAAAAAAAAAAAAGTAAACCCACACCTTCATCTGAGGACAAAGAGTAAACATTTTTCTGGAGGTAAGTCTGAAAGGGTTGAACTTTACCAACATCTTCTCAGCCACTCAGCCATAGATCAGAATTTGTAAAAATGGATGCATCACCATATGCATGGGTAATGCTTGAATGGATAACACTCTTGACCATCTGCAGAATTTGACTTGTATTGTTAAAAAGCAGAAAGTAGCTAGATAGGCATCGAAGGCATTTTGTTCTAGTTGTGACAATAGTGTCATGGTTAGGTGAAATGGGGCAACTTCAGTTGGCTTTCAAGAAAGAACTGTCAGGGCTTCCCAGGTGGCTCAGTGGTAAAGAACCCTCCTGCCAGTGCAGGAGACATGGCTTCATCCCTGGGTCAGGAAGACCCCCTGGAGGAGGGAATGCAGCCCACCGCAGCATGCTTGCCCGGGAAGTCACACGGACAGAGGAGCCTGGCGGGCTGTAGTCCACGGGGTCACAAAGAGTCGGGCATGACTTCATGCCTAAATAACAATAAAATCCGCAAGCACCATGAAAAACCAGGAGAACTACCAACCTAGATGTTCGACGGCTGATAAGAAAGCTTTGTCTCTTTTTCTTTCCTTTTTTTCCTTTTTAAGGTATGCCATGAGACTAAAAACGCACTCCAGCCCCAATGCCACACCAGAGGATAAACAGCTGGCTGCTTTATGGTAAGTGCACCATATCGGTTTAAAATAGCCGCCCCAGCCTTGTACGTCTCCACTGGCGAACCTGGTGACCTGGTCCCAAAGTGCATGACGTGTTCACAGTGCTTCTAACACCAAACTGAAGGCATATCTCAAGGTGGCCATGGAGAGCCTGCACCCTGCTGTCCTATGCATGAGGGGAATTCATGACTAAAAGTGAACAGGTCCATGACACAAGGACTCGTTCTGTGTGTATGTGTGTGTGTGTGTGTGTGTGTGTGTGTTTTAGAATCAGGTAAGTTTGTTTTAATCATTTCAATGTGAATTGTGCCCAATGTAATCTCTCATATTTAACAGTTTGGATGCAATCAAAACAATTTATCTGTCTCTTTACGTGTGGGATTAGCAGGGCTGAGTCAAGACGGTATGTTCAGGTTCTCAACACTTTAAACTGAGGAGCCGTTCCTTGTACTTTGATAATCAAAGACTTTTAAAATGTTAATCAACATGTAATGGGTTTTTTCCTATAATAACAGAAATTATAATGATTATGTGATTATAATAACAATAATTTTCCCCATGACATTTCCTCAGGGCGCCTCACTCAATTCTATCAAATTACAGGACGCCTCTCAGTTCCTGCTGTGATAAGGAACCAAAATGTCTCTATCTCTGACGGTTCATACTCCACCCTAGAACTGGATTTGCAAGTCATAGAACCGAATCTCGAAATAGTAATAGTAATAATAATAACAGTGACAGACACAAAGGAGAGGGTCTCTGATAGTTTTGCGTCACCACTTCATATAGAGTTTGATGTGCTGTTACTCAGGGATGCATTGTATTAGTACAACACAGGGAATGAATGCAGCCAGTATTTTGTAATAACCGTAAATAGAAAGTAACCTTTAAAAATTGTATTAAAAATAAATTTTAAAATTTAAATAAAAAGATAAAGTTTGAGACCATTAAGTTGTATTTTCTAGGTTGGTATTCTACTATGTCAATACCATATCTGAGTTAGCAGATAATTATGAGTGAAAAGCACCAAGGAATAGTTGATATGGCTCAGGAGATGCTTTCTTTGCTCTTTTCAAACTTCAACTTTCATGTTAGGATTAATAAATTAACTATGATTAGTTCATATTATGTAAGAGGGATTACTGGTATGTAACTAACAAATACATAAACTATAAAAATAATAACTACTCCCAACATAGTTTTTAATTATTTATAAGACACATTCATATCTGTTACTTTATTTGAACTAATTATAGTCCAGTAAAGTAGGTTTTTTAACTTTTTGTTTTATGTTGGAGTATAGCCGATTAACAGTGATGTGGTAGTTTCAGGTGAACGGCAAAGGGATTCAGCCATACATACACATGTATCCATTCTCCCTCAGTAAAGCAGCTTAAAAGGGAAGGTGACAAAGACAGGTAGAAGGGCTGTGCTTTCAGCAAAGCCACGGCCAGAAGTTCAAGATGTCCGAGGAAAATCAGAGTAAATTAGTTCTGCCCTGAAGTTTACCCAGAAAGCAGAGCGCTGAGCTTCTCCCTCCTCTTGTGGAGAGAGACTGCCCTCTAGTGGTGTAAGAAGAAAATGGCCAGCTGCTTAGTCCCAGCGAAGACGCAATAAAGCTATTCGTTCTTTATTCTTTATTTATATTTATTTATATTATATGTACACACATATAATATTCTTTATTTATATGTACACACATTGTTTATTGATTCATATTTATATTATTTATGTCTATATGTTCTTTATACATATTTATATGAAGTGATGTTTTTAATGGAGTAACTGAAGTTTTGAATCACATCAAACAAATAGGAAGGTCAGATACCTGCAGACATATATGCATGTATAGAAATACTTAATATATATATAATCATGCTATGAACATTGAGTGCATTGGAACAACAAGATAGTTGGCACAAGGGCCACTCACTTGTCTCTTCCTGCCGCAGTTACCGATGCCTGGCTCTTCTGTACTGGAGGATGTTTCGACTCAAAAGGGATCACGCTGTGAAGTATTCAAAAGCACTTATCGACTATTTCAAGGTACTGTCTGGCTAATGGGCAGAATTCTGTACCCAATTTTCTGCCTGTGAAGGACATGTTCAATGTAGAATCCACTGATTTGGGGCTAATACAGGAGACATCTGCTATCTGCACTAACCCCATTTACGACCTCCTCATGGCATTCAGGGCTCAGAGAACCCATCTAATTTATTCCCCTGCCTGTGTCCAAGTATTTTTATAGCCCCTAGAGAAAGAAGATCCTGTTACCCACCCCAGTGTCCTAGGATATCCATCTTTATAGCTAACATAAATTCCTCATGTTCACTCAGAGCTTCTTCCTCTTATAAGTAGCTCCTTAGAAGTAACTCCTCTTTGCTATCTCCAGTCACTAATTTAATTTTAAATAAAGGTGTTATTTTAAATGATAAGAAATGGCTTGGTAGAACCCAGAGGCACTAGAATAGCACTGTGCACATAAAAGGATAGAATTGGAAACTGTGCTTTTGTATGGAATGAAATCATTTTCATTGGGAGAATGAAGAAAGGGGAGGGGAGACAAAAAACCTCTGTGTTCTGTTGTGAAGTGGACCTGACATCTTAATTTATTTGAGACTTTTTGCCTCTTCACTGTCCATTTGACTATAGAAACAAGAAATTATACCATCTCTGCCTCCACCAATCTTTATCAGATACACAACCATCATTTTATATTTATTTTTGGCTGCACTGGGTCTTCGTTACTGAGTGGACTTTTCTTTAGTGGCAGCGAGCAGGCGCTACTCTTCTTAAGGTGCCCAGGCTTCTCCTTGCGGTGGCTTCTCCTGCTGAGCGCACAGAATCGAGGCGCCTAGGCTTCAGCAGTGGCAGCATGCAGGCTCAGCAGTTGCGGCTCGTGGGCTCTAGCGCTCGGGCTCAGAAACTGCGGTGCACCGGCTTTTAGTTGCTTCATGCCCGAACCAGGAATCTTCCCGGGCCATGTCCCCCTGCACTGGCAGGCAAATCCTTATCCACTGTACCACCAGGGAGGTCCCCACGGTCATCATTTTTTATCTTTAATCCCCAACTCCACTTCTTGGAGATGATTTCTGATGGCCCGGCTGCGTTGGAGGTCCTGTGGGCCATGTCCATCCAGTAGCCTGGCCATGCATGTAGAGTATCCAGGTGCTAAGTCAAAAAGGTAACTTGTCTTAGTCCACTGACAATCGTGGGTTATAATGACAAGTACTGACACTAAGAGTCTCCCTTTACTTTGGGTGCCTAAGTTTAAGATAAATCATTTTCAAAAATTTAGAATCTAAGAGCTATTTTGGGCTCCAAAAGCACTGCAGATGGTGACTGCAGCCATGAAATTAAAAGACACTTGCTCCTTGGAAGAAAAGTTATGACCAACCTAGACAGCATATTAAAAAGCAGAGACATCAGTTTGTCAACAAAGGTCCATCTAGTCAAAGCTATGGTTTTACTAGAAGTCATATATGGGTGTGAGAGTTGGACTATAAAGAAAGCTGAGCACCGACAAATTGATGCTTTTAAACTGTGGTGTAGAAGTAGACTCTTGAAAGTCCCTTGGACTGCAAGGAGATCCAACCAGTCAATCCTAGAGGAAATCAACCCTGAATATTCATTGGAAGGACTGATGCTGAAGCTGAAACTCCAATACCGATGTAAAGAACTGATTCACTGGAAAAGACCCTGATGCTGGGAAAGACTGAAGGCAGGAGGAGAAGGAGATGACAGAGGATGAGATGGTTGGATGGCATCACTGACTCAATGGACATGAGTTTGGGCAAGTCCTGGGAGTTGGTGATGGGCAGGGAAGCCTGGCGTGCCGCAATCCATGGGGTTGTAAAGAGCTGGACACAACTGAGTGACTGAACTGAACTGACTGAAGAGCTATTACTTAAGAGTTATTATAGTAAAGCAATGCACTTAAATAAAGAAAGAATCCGAACTCTAAGCCACAGAGCTTACCCACAGAACTTTTTAAGAGATCCAAGTTCTTAATGTATGTGGATTGTCTGTGAAACTGTACAGAATGAACAGAGAACATAACTTAAAAATCAGAACTCCCCCTCCAGAAGTTCCTGGTAGATATCCTAAATCAAAAGCTATTTCAATACTACTTAAAGTTCAAAGATCATGAAAACTTTAGGAAACAATGATTAGTGTTAGTTGCTCAGTCATGTCTGACTCTGCGATGCCATAGACTATAGCCCTCCAGACTCCTCTGTCCGTGGGATTCTCCAGGCAAGAATACTGGAGTGGGTTGCCATTCCCTTCTCCAGGGGATCTTCCCGACCCAAGGATTGAACCCGGGTCTCCATTATTGCAAGCACGTTCTTTACCATCTCAGCCACCAGGAAACAATGATAGTTGGTTCATAAAAAATAAGTTTCATGAGTACAACTGGCTCTGAAAAACAGGACTTTGCCCCTACACGTGTTTTTTATAGCCACAGGACCTCAGTTGTAGTGAAAGAGGCCTGAAGGCAATGTTGCGCAATTCCCATGTATAAGGCCATTTCTTACCATTTTGATAACACCTCCACTAAAAGCTAAAAATCAGTCACCACTTCATAAAATTCTTTTTAACCAAAAGAAACATTTTGTCTCTGGGGAACCACACTGAGGCTATTATATTTTCTTGTTTCTGGAAGGGAACATTCACATTCATATTATAAAGACCATTTTTTCCTTAACAATCTCACAGACTTATGTCCAAGAAAGCTTCATGGGACTCTCAGGGAGGAAATCTTCTGTACATTTAGAAACTTTCCTTGCCAAAGGCAAAATTTCTTTTAAATGCCTGATGCAAACAACTGGCTCAGGCAACAAATCCTAAATCAGAATATTTAAATAAATCAGAATTTTTGAATTCACTCTCTGTTAAGGAAATACATTTAATCTATTGTTCAAGAGCAACTTCCTTTAAGAGAAATACTTTAAAGCTTTATAAGTTAAAACAGTAACAGTTGATGTCTCATATATTTTCAGGCATTAAATGTTATGTCAACAGTTCTGCAAATATGCCCTACATTTAATAAAAGATGTTCTCAGTGTATGTGTGGGAGGGGGGTTGCCCGAAGCCAATAGCTTAGTAATTATAATTTCCCAGATCCAGTTTCTGTGAACCTGCATTTTATCTACAGTGTCTGCCATTACTTCTCTCAGCGGTCACCTAAGAACATGTTATTGTGGGCTGTTTAAACTCAAGCAGATGGTACTCACTGTCAACATTTTTGTTTTCTTGCAGAATTCATCTAAAGCTGCCCAAGCCCCATCTCCATGGGGGGCCAGTGGAAAGTAAGTTCATTTTTGCGAAGTGAAGGTGATAAATGAGATGTTGCATGAAGCCGAGCAAGGGCTTCCTGGGGGCTCAGTGGTAAATTACCCGCCTGCCAGTGCAGGATATTCAAGAGACGGGTTGGAGACCTGGGTCGGGAAGATCCCATGGAGGAGGAAACGGCAACCCACTGCAGTATCCTTGCCTGGAGAATCCCGTGGACGGAGGAGCCTGGTGGGCTACAGTCCATGGACACGACTGAGCCCTCGCACCCCAAACACATACCCACATACACACACAGGAAGCTGGGCAGAGCGCTGCTGTTGACAGTGCCTGAGGGGCCGCCCTACCTCACCAGGTACTAACCTCTCCTGTTTTCCCATGCTCTCCCCTTCCAGGAGCACTGGAACCCCATCCCCCATGTCTCCCAACCCGTCCCCCACCGGCTCCGTGGGCTCTCAGGGGAGCCTGTCCAACGCCAACACCCTGTCCCCATCAACCATCGTCAGCATCCCACAGCGCATCCACCAGATGGCAGCCAACCACGTCAGCATCACCAACAGCATCCTCCACAGCTACGACTACTGGGAGATGGCGGACAACCTGGCCAAGGAAAACAGAGGTGCGTGCACCTTGGGGGAGGTGTGCGTGGATCAGCCACAGCTCAGGGAGACAGCCTGATCCTTGGGCATCACTGGGCGAGATTTTATCATTCACCGAGTAGAAGCTGTCACCTGCTGAGTGAACTTTCCCTGACTTCTCCCCCTACTCAGCACTTCCAGGGCCTTTGCCTATCTTTATTGTTACTGTGGGAAAGATCAGAGATAGAGATGGGGTTAGAGATGATAACAGGTACCAATGACATAGATAGAAGTTTTAAAGATATGCACACATATGTTTTTCCTTTAGACACTGAGGTCCTTGAATAGGGATGACATTTTATTCAACTTTGTAACTGTAAGACATGCACAGTGCCTAGAACATAGCTAGGGATCTGAAATACTGGATGAATTAATTAGCGGATGAGTATGAATGTTCCTGGGTTTCCCAGGTGGTGCTAGGGGAAAGAACCCACCTGCCAATGCAGGAGGCGTAAGAGACACAGGTTCGATCCCTGGGTCAGAAAGATCCCCTGGAGGAGGGCATGGCAACCCACTCCAGTATTTTTGCCTGGAAAATCCCTGGACAGAGGAGCCTGGTGGGCTGCAGGCCATACGGTCTCAAAGAGCTGGACACGACTGAAGTGACTTAACACATACACACGTGAATGTCACTGCCTATTCAAATGATAGCTGATTACTACTGAAAAAAAGGTTTTTATGGGTAAGCTGTATTTCTTTCTTTTTAATTAACTTTTATTGGAGTATGGTTGCTTTACAGTGTTGTGTTAATTTCTGCCGTGTGGATATATATATCCCTTTTTTTCTGATTTCCTTCCCATTTAGGTCACCGCAGAGCCTGGTAGAGTTCCCTGAGCTATACAGTAGCTGTATTTCTTTTAAATAATGTTTGTTTTTACTCATAAAAGCATGTTTAAACTTATATGTATGTAAACTATGGCTAAATTTGTAAAGTACAGAAAATAGAGAAAAAATTTTTTAATTATCAGTAATCTTATCATGGGCTTCCCTGGTGGCTCAGTGGTAAAGAACCCACTTGCCATGCAGGAGACATGGGTTCGATCCCTGAGTCAGAAAGATCCCCTGGAGAAAGAAATGGCAACTCACTCCAGTATTCTTGCCTGGAAATTCCATGGACAGAGGAGCCTGGTGGGCTACAGTCCACAGACGCTAAGTTGGACACGACTTAGCAACTAAGCAACAACAATCTTATCACTAAGAAATAGCACTATTAACATTCTATTGAAATGCCATCTAGTCTTCTCCAAATATGCATGAGTTTTACCAAAATAAGATCATAGTGTATGTACAGTTTTACATCCTTTTTTTCATTTTACATTATATCAGGCATATTTTCATGTCACTAACTAGTTCAAAAACACCTTTATGATGGTTCTGTAACACTGTCATAATAGTGGTTATACAGTCACGTGTGTTCATTGCTCAGTCGTGTGACCCCTTTGTGACCCCATGGACTGTAGCCCGCCAGGCTCCTCTGTCCATGGGATTCTCCAGGCAAGAACACTGGAGTGGCTTGCCATTTCCCTCTCCAGGCACTCTTCCCAACCCAGGGATCGAACCGTGGTCTCCTGCATTGCAGGCGGAAGCTCTTCTGTCTGAGCTACTAGGGAGCTGAGCTACTTTATACAGTCATCAAGTATCACAGTTTCTCAAACCATTCCCCTGCTGTTGAACATTTATGTTACTTCCACTTTCTTCCACTATTACAAATAACAGTATGATAGATATCTTCATAGAAATCATTGTTCATATTTCTGATTACCTTCTGACAGGAGGGAGTTGTAGAAATAGAATGTTGAGGTCAACAAGTATAGATTATTTTAAGACATACATTTTTATGAAAGAAAGTGAAGTATTAGTCGAACTCTTTCCACCCCATGGACTGTAGCCTGCCAGGCTCCTCTGTCCGCAGGATCCTCCAGCAAGAACACTGGAGTAGGTATCCATTTCCTCCTCCAGGGGATCTTCCTGATCCAGGGATCGAACCCGAGTTCTCCTGCTTTGCAGGCAGATTCTTTATTGTCTGAACCACCAGGGAAGCCCTGATTGGTATATATGTTACTAATTTTCTCCCTACCAAGTTCCTGCTCTTTCTCCAGTGCTGAGTGAGAGCTTTGTTCCCATGGTAACATGCTTCTGAGGCTGAGACTGACAAGTTCACGGGGAGATGAGGACCAGTGGCAGAGAGGCAGCTGGGTGCTGAGCACACGAAACCGATGGTGTAACCATCGGGACACAACAGCAGCTCGGGGATGGTGTACCCAGAAATCCCAGTGGGGATGCCACGGAGATCAGGGCCGGGGGCCAAGACCAGCAGGACAGGCTCCCAGAGGAGCTGGCACAGAACAGGGTTTTGAAAAGCAGATATTGGTCGAGTAGCTGAGATGGAGTCGGGGTGGATGTCACAGGTGAATAAAAGAGCAAGGACAAATGTACAAAGGTTTCTACAGCCGGTTTGGGAGAACCTGAGCAGGCCAGGCTCCAGATGGTGCCACCAGCTGCCACCTGGCCCTCAGCAGAGCCGCACAGCCAGTCTGAAGTCCACCTGGCTTCCCCCAACCTGCCCTCCCCCCGGCTCTGCTCCTGGCTTCCTGCCACGCTGCCCTCCCTGCCACCTGGACCCTGGCTCTTCTCTGAGCCTTCCTCGTGGGACCTCACTCAGCACCTCCGGGAGCACCATTCAGACCCTCGTCCAGGTCCTTGGGTTTCCGTGGTGGCCCAGACAGGAAAGAATCTGCGTGCAATGCGGGAGACCAGGGTTCAGCCCCTGGGTCGGGAAGGTCCCCTGGAGAAGGGAATGGCTACCCGCTCCAATATGCTTGCCTGGAGAATCCCATGGGCAGAGGAGCCTGGCGGCTGCAGTCCATGGGATCACCGGGAGCCGGACACGGCTGCGCGCCTGACACTTGCCCCAGATTCTCACTTCCAGAGAGAGCTGTTCAGTGGTCTTGGACAGTGCACCATGGCAGCCCCGTGAATGGATTTGTCTCTGTCAGCCGCCAAACTGCAGTCTCTGAGACGGCAGAGCCTATGCATTCTTCATCTTGGTGTCCTCTCTGGCTCCACCCTTGTGTCCCTAGCATAGCGCCTTGGCAGTGATAATATGTTTAATGCAAGGACAAACCCAGAGAAGGTTCACAGATCGGTTGGCAACCTCAGTAGAGATGTCTCAGAACCCATCTGTGAACAAGGCCCTACACTATAGCACAGGGAACTCTACTGAGGATTTTGCAGTAACCTATAAGGGAAAAGGAGCTGAATCGTATTTCACATATGACTGAATCACTATGCTGTACTCCTGAAACTAACACAACATTGGAAATCAACTCTTCTCCGACAGAATAAAAATAAAAGACAGTTTATACAAGCTGATTGCTCCCAAAGCCAAAAAAAAAAACCCATCCCTGATTTGCCTCCAGGAGCCCCAGAATCCCCCAGGGGCTCAGCATCTAACACAGTTGAGTACAGTATAAAGGCTGACAGCTTCAGGCCAAGTTCAGGGTGAGAGGTGTCACTGCAGAAAGGAGAATGCCGCCCGGGGAAGTCGGTTTTCCTTGCTTTCTGGCTGAATAGATGTCATTGGTTTGAATTAGAAGTCGCCAGTCGAGGGACCCTTGGGACGCAGGTGCGCTCTCTGCTGGGGGGGTTCACGTCACGTGGCGGGACCGGGCGCTGAGCATGTATCCCGCTGACGACCCTCTCTGTCTCACCAGAATTCTTCAACGACCTGGACCTGCTCATGGGGCCGGTCACACTGCACAGCAGCATGGAGCATCTGGTCCAGTACTCCCAGCAGGGCCTGCACTGGCTGCGGAACAGCGCCCACCTGGCCTGAACGCCGCCCCGGCCACGGCGGGTGCGTCTCCAGGACGGCCCAGCGCTTCTGGACACTGTGCTCCCCACCTTCCCGGCCGCAGCATTTCTCGAAAGGCGGTGAATATTTTTCAGCATCAAACAGCAGTCTGTTCTCCCAGGGCGTGTGTGTTTGTGTGTGTGGGTGTGGAATAAGCTGCTGGTGGAGGTGTGTAAGACACGACAGTTCTCTAGAACACTCTCCTTTGTCTAGTTTCCAGCATCCCAGGCTAGACAAAGTGATCTGATGTTTCTGATTAGAGAAAACACACTCACTCACACACACACACACACACATTTTCTAGTTCAAAGCTCAACCGTGACTTCTTAAAATATTCAACCAAAATCTCATGGGTTAGTGAACCAGGTGCAATATAGCACACCAAAAGCTTGACTGCCAGTTAAGATGAACCCAGCTCTTATACTATTGATTCCTTTCAGTATTAATATACTTTTCTCCCATTATTTTTTTATTGTCTGTATTAATGGGTTTTTGAATAATGAAAATAAGTCAGTTATTTTTGTGCTGGCTGTTTACTAGATTGCATGTTACCAAATACCCTGCTTTTTGTCTAGTCCCTCCCCTCCTCCATCCAATTCTCTATCTAACTCTACTATCAACTAAACGTGTTAGACGCAAATGAGTCAACTCCCATGGGCCTTCCCTGCCCTGCCCCCCAAAATAGGATGACCATGACCCTGACCCTGAGATTTGGTGGGGGGGGTGGGGAAACTCTGTGTCTTTGAAAACGCACCCACATGGAAGCAGCAACAGCTGTGTCCCTGGGCTCGGCGAGGAACTGACCCCCGCACATGCCAGGAGCCCCCCGGCACGTGTGTTCCTTCCTCCTGCCACTGTGACCCCAGGGGCTGTGGAGCCCCGTGGGTTTGTCAGCCGATACTTTTCAACAAGTCTTTTCTTTCCGTGAGACCTTTCTTACCCATGTTCTTGGCCAAACGAGGACATTGTCTCGGATGTCCCTTCCCTCGGAATCTGTCTGTTGCTTTGTCAGGCCAAGAACTGTTTGTTGCCATGATTCTGTCTAATCCTCCCTGTCTTTGGAGTAAGTGCCGTGCGGACCTTGAATGCATTTTTGACCTGGGGGATGTATTTCAGGGTCTGATGAGCAGGCTGCCCACCACAGAGCAGGTGATCCCTGTAGTGATTGCGGTTCTGTCTGGGGTAGCAGCGACCCGAACATCACGCTTAAGCCCCTGTGCATCTGGTACGTGTATGTCTTCCCCCGATTCTTTTTTGTTTTGTTTAATTAAGTTTACATTTTAGTTTTTTCAACATTTTGTTTACAGTGTTTGTCTGAAATTTCTTTTATTGTCTGAAATTTATTTCTTTTATTGTCTGAAATTTATTTCTTTTATTGTCTCTTATCATACCCTAGATTTAGTGTTCTTGTTAAATATATTTGAATACAAAGATATTGGTAAAAAAGAAAAACTCCTGGAAAGGAGGATATACCTTGTCATGCTTTAAAAACAAAAATAATGACCTTGATGCCTCTCACTTGACAAAATTGCCCCAAGACAGCCTGAGAAAGACAGGTGATGGGGTACATGGAATAATCCATTTTTCAAGGTGGTGGTAATGTAAACATTTATATCAGATGCTAATGGTCTCACTGGTTTGGTTGCAATGTTAACATTTTCATCAGCCTGATCTGTGGGTGAGAAATCAGATTGCTGTAATCCCCTAGCTCTAAGCACTGATTCAAAACTGTTCAAGTGATTGAACAGCTTTGGCGATTTGAAATTCATTCAATGAACAAGTGAAGGCTTTGTGAAATTTGTATTTGGTGTTGGCCTTTAAGCAGCTGGAAATATTAACAATACTTCTTTTTTCACATTTATCCAACTGCGGTGCTTCTGACATTCCTTTCACTAATTATTACTAGATTTCCCCTTCCCATTGGGGTCTCACTTAAGACATTTTTGTTTTTGTTTTTTTTGTTTTTTTTTTGGAGGACTGAGGCTTAGTTCTACTCACTGTTGCTGAATTCTGATGAAATGTTCAGACTCTCACATAAAAGGACGGCCCCCCAGTGTCCCTCGGGCGTTCCTGGGTGCCTTTCTGATCTTATCCACCTTTAAGCCCCAGGCCCCATGGTGGCGTCCACGTAGTGTGCTCACATGTAAAGGCACAGGCTGTCTTCAGCTGGTTGTGCCGCAGCACTGCATCAGAACGCCGTGAGCCGTGGTCGTTTCCAACAAAACGTGAAACCAGTTAACTGGGGGCAGTCACAGCATGCCGTTCTTCTCTGTCTCATTTCATTGGTGGAGCATGTCGGGGCAGTGGTTGTTCCTTGCTTTGGCATCAGTGCTTTTGATAAGGAAGCATCTTCTGATCATTGCTGGTTCCTTTTCTTTAGTTTTGTTCAAAGTAGAAATAGCTTTCTTGTGTTTTCTGATTATGAAACTAACAGACACTCGTGGTGAAAATTCAAACAATACAAACAAGTGTAAAGTAGGAAGTACTCAGCCCCAACCCCCAGAGTCAGCACTGCTCACCCTTCCCTGTATATCCTTCGGGAGAGCCTCCCATTTAAATGTAGAATGGCTATCATCATTTCCTTCTATTTGAAGACGTTATTTCTTCAGAAGTTCAGTACAAGTTCAACTGGCCTTATCCCTCCATGACCTGAATGGACCTGGATCACAATTGTTAGAAATATCTTTGAAAGAGAGGAACCCAAATATATTCATGATTAAAGTGTGGGATTTGTTACCATTCGACACAGATCAGACTTAGATGCAGAATTGTGCTTGGGAAGAGAGGTTCGGTTAAAACGTTATTTCTGGAAACTTTCAAATTGCAAACGGAAAATCGGACCCACTGTCTAAAGAGAAATGTACTGGAAAAAAAAATCTGAAAAGTTGACAAACTGTGTATTGGATTGAACATGTGGAATCAACGCAGTGAGCTTTTCTGCACTAAAACGTACCCTCGTATCTACAACAAAGATGTGTGTATTACATAACAGTGATGTGTACATTTCTGACATCCCATACATAATATACACAGTTTGTATAAATGCATACATTTAAAAATATATATGTACAGTGCAGCTACCATAAAACTGTAGTACGCTTGAAGGATATGACCAGTGCCTAATGTTGAGTATAAGTCACTGCGTGTTTAAATCACCTCGGAAGTGCAGTAATTGTTATCAAATTAATCAGTGCAGCCAACCTTATTTATGAACCACATCTTTGAAACTGTGCAGTAGTATATACATATATATTTTTAAATAACATTTTTCACAGTTTTCCAGAGTTACTGTTGAAATCTGTATCACCAAAAAAAAAAAAAGCAAGATTTTTTTTAATGATGTAGACACTCTCCAAACCCAGTAATCTGTGTGTGATTTCCTGTTTGTAGATACCCAAGACACTTTAGCAGTCACCAGCCTTAATGCATGTACAGGATATTATTGTGACTTAATTTATCTGCAGTTTTTAATCCATGTGAAATTGGAATTTATAAACTGACTTGGATTAACTATGTCTGCCTTTCTAAGGTTGCAAATGTTACATTAAATGATTTATGTTGTAAATGAGAGACATTGAGTTGTACGTAAGAAAAGAAAAAATGTCCACCAATTTCTGTGAATATTTTTACAAGGAAACTTCAGACTCAAAATATATTCAAATAAGCATTCTGGTCCCCAGTTCATAATCTCTTTAGAATGGACCTTGTAGTTTCATAAAAATTTTTAAATGATGCTTCCAACATATTATCATTACTAAGTCTGATATTTTTCATGGGGGAAAAAAGTAATGTTTTCATTATTGGAAGTATAGTTTGCTACTTGTCTTTGCCATTTCCCAGCATATTTACACACATGTGTGTGAGAACACACCCACAGTGTCCCAGAAAATGCTGAATAGGAAGCTTAAGGGGATTATTTTGATAGCTACACTGATGCCTGTCCAACCAGCAGCCCCAGGACACCGTTTTACTCAACATTCCATAATGACAGAAGTTAATTCCCTCACTGTGTCTATCAGGTTTTTCCAACTCTAACCAACATGGTGGAATAACGTCAGCATTATTGAGTGAAATGAGAGAATTTTGAACTACCGAAGACAAAGATATTAGACCAGTGGCTTCCCATAATACATATCTCCTCCATGTGAGAGCGTTTTTTATTAGCCTCATATTTTTTTACTCTTCTTTCTCCCCTTTTTCATTCCTCTCCTCCCCAAGTTAAACTAAGTAGAAACAGAAACAGTAACAGAAAAAAGCAATTACTTCACTTTTCCCAGCCTATATCTTTATATTCAAATACGACAGCAGAACCCTAGCTCTGGTCACCACGAAGACCACCTCATCTCAAAGATGACCAGAGTGGGGTCCTTGGCTTTGCTTGCTCCAGAGACTACTGAACTTGGCACGCTTTCAGAGGTGGTTTGGGCTAAGAAATGTCCAATAGTCTTTCAAGAACTATCTTCCCCTTATGCAGTTTAGCCTACTACTCAGCTGAACTCTGTTCCCATCAGAATCCTATTTTTAAGAAGTGGTGGCCCAGAAGGTAAAGAATCTACCTGCAATGCAGGGGACCAGGTTTGACTCCTGGGTCAGGAAGATCCCCTGGAGAAGGAAATGGCAACCCACTCCAGTATTCTTGCCTGGGAATCCCAGGGACAGAGGAGCCTGGCGGGCTACAGTCCATGGGGTCGCAAAGAGTCGGACACAACTGAGCAATTGACATTTCACTGAATCAACTGGAGTCTTAAGAGATCTTTTTTTTAATGAAAGGGAAAAAAAAAAAACCCAACAACATAAACTGCATTTCCAGCAATCTGGAGCCAGAGTTTATTTCCTTGTCTTCCCATTCCCAGAAGAGCACAGTTTTTCAACATTACAAACTTCCTAACAAATAGCACAAGAAATGTTCAGACTTTTGAGATGCGTGTTTTCTTTGTTCAAACTGAATCCTTCTGTATGTCATCAGATGGGTGTGTTTGCTTGGCATAAGGGAAATTATAAAACTCTGTTCTCAAATGAAATACATCTGACCATGGTTTGGTTTGGGTTTTATTATTTAATTGGTGCTCTGAGGCAGCATGGGGTGAATTTGGGGTCAGTTGAAAGGGGATTTAGGCTCACAGCTCTTACTTGTAGTAATGGGAATCAAGGGATTAAATCCCTCTGCGTTACTTTGAAAATCCACCTCTTATGACCAATTGTGAACACACTGCTCTGAGGGATGAATTCAGGGTACTAATTGCCAGTCAACACAAGGATCAGCATTTGTCTTTAAGCATCAGGAAGCAATGTTGAGACCTGAAAAGCCGGAGCAGGCTCATTTCTAACACAGGAAAAGCTCATCAGAAAATGCTTATATCCAGCTATGATGTAAGATAATGCCAATGTTTAGAATTATCGAAGAGTGCTCTTTGTTTATAAAAAATAATCACAATTTTCTTATTTCTGTATTGGTTTCCAATGCTTTTTCAGTTTTTCATAAAACAGGGCTGGTTTTTTTTTTTTCCTCCAGTATTTTATCTTCTCTTTATTTCTAGATGCCCAAATGAGCAAAGAAAATACTTACGACTGAGGAATGTGCATTACTTGACTGGGCAGTGTCTACCCACAGTAGCCAAATGTATGTGGCTTTTTAAGGAACATCCTTTGAGTCTCCTGTTACCTTCATCTACAGCGTGAATGATCACCAAGGCTGAAGTATGGCCACATAGTTCAGGTGTCAAAAATCCTAAGCATGTGATACACTCATCTTTAGTGATAGGCACTTCCTTAGCCTTACCAGCTATCTCTGGGATCTGTTTGTAGGGCAAAAAACAATATTAACACTTTCCTCTGAGCAATTTGCAAACTGATTATGAATCCCCTGAAGTCCCCAGCACTGCCAACTCAACCCAAAATTTCCTTCTCCATGAGCTGACTTGATTTTTTTTTTTTCATTCCTTTGGTTGTTTTTTTTTTTTTCCTTCTATCAGTCAGATTCTGTATCTTGACTGTTTAGAAGAACAGTTACTAGAGACAGTGGGAACTTTAAGCAAACAGATTCAATATTGGAACTTGATGATGTTGAGGTTTGAAGGGTCAGGGGTAAATCAGGCTGCCCAGGCACTCTCCTCCTTTGCTTGCTGCCCCTGGATCTTGGATAAAGCCCCTCTCCACAATTCCATTTCCTCTACGTGAAATGTAGCCCAATTAACTGCCGCTCCAAAGACCCAGTTGCGGATCACCAGATTCGAGCAGCAGTTGGAGACCCCAGTGGTCGCCGGCAGCTGGAGTTAGCATCACTGTCACAACAGAGGCGCCTGCAGCCCAGTCTCTCTACGTACCATGATGCAAAGGTGTGTGATGTGCAAGGTCCCAGCTCCAACCTGGTTCTCTGGAACCAAGAGGATGACAGTGGGGTCTCCATGGGACCCCCGAGCTTTTGCTGTTACCCCTTTTGAGTCCAACCTGCTGGTAGGCAGGGCTCTAATAGATCGGTGAGGGGGCAGGGGTCTGTCCTTGCCAGGTCCCCTGCAGGTGGGGGTATAATCCCACCACCCTCTTCCTCGTCCCATCCTGGCCCTAAGAAACAGGGGAAGCGGGGACATGGGGTCCCGCTCCCCGTGGGTGCCTCTTCAGTGAGAACACAGCCTGCCTCTAGACCACCAGGCTCTGAACACACCGGTCTGGCCAGATGCCACACGGCACCGTCTGTCAGGACCCATGCTCTCCTGGCTTTCCTTTGATGCCAGGAGGCCAGTTCTCGTCATGAGAATCCTGCCCCTCTGGTGGTGACTTTTTTTGTTGTTTGGGGCTAGTGGGGTGGAGGACAGTTGCTCTGGGAGGTTTGTCCCTGAGAAAGGAGACCTGTCACAAGGGACTGGTCACAAGGGTATGTCACAAGCTTCAGGAAAGCAGAGACCCCTCCTGAGGAAAGGAGGGGTTTTCCCTCTAGTGGGCTAGATAATTGCCTCAGTGTTATTGCTTAATTGTAGGCTAACCCTCAGTCAGGCTCCCTGGAGAGGGAGCGTCAGCCTGAGAACTCAGTGGCTTTGTGAGAATGACCACTCTCCCTCCAAGCATCAAGACAGAGACTGGAAATCTGACCATTGACCTGACTGTCATCACTGAGGTCAAGGCATAAATGTTCAGTTGAGGTTTTCAGCTTTTACCTAATATTTCTATTATTTAGACATGGGGGCTTCCTTGTGTCCCACAATGGGTGCTTTGAGCTTAACCGAAATAATCATGAAACGCTCATTCAGAAGGGCCCCTTGTCATACTCACTGGAAACCCTTTCCTAGTCTTTCTTTAGGACAAAAGGGCAACAACTGACCGTCATGAAAGTCCCAGCCTGATTTAAGCCCAAATTATATCAGTACCCTTTCCCCAGCAGCACAACACCAAGGTGGACTCCAGGTGTTTAGATTAATATTAGCATGAGGAGGTGGAGATTCACCAGCTAGACGCTCAGATTTCATCTCATCTCAGGCAGGATGTTAAGGAACAGACAGGCCTACTACAGCGCAACAGCGGGTTACCGCCAAGGTTCTGTGAAATCAAGCTCAAAGTCACTCACACAGTTTGCCTCCGCCGGAGCAGGAATTTTAATTCCACCATTTTCCTTTTGCTGTGTCATCTTGGATGTTTATTCATGGAGCTGGCAATTCTAATTCAAGATTTCAGTGTGGGAATATCAGAGGCCCAGCGTGTCACACTAAACACCTTTTCACATTCTGCACCTTGGTCTTGGGAAAGCTGCCAGCCACTTAGAAACCAGCTCATCTCCCGTGAGACATCTCCAGCCATCCAGTTGAAGCAGCCACCAAACCAAAATAAAAGGGCCTTCATTTTCTCTTACAGGAATTGGTCTTAAGATTATTTCAACAATTGAAGAGGATTTTAAGTCAGACAGTTCTATACAGTAATATATGCTGTAAAAATGTATATACTGTAGCATTGATTATAGAGTGCTATATTTATTAACATCAAATACTGTTTTCATTTTTGTCTAGCTGTTCACTATTAAAAGAGCTTAAGTTCATTTTTGTTATGTGATACTCATTTGGGACTTCTAGTGAGAGCATTTGACATGGGTAAAAAGCGCAGGATTTGTGTTGATCGTCACTATTTTAATCCAAGTAGTCATAATGGTCTGTTAAGAATCACCATGACACACCCTACTCCTGATGAAATCTTGTGCTTTCAAGTGCATCTTTAATAATGTGATTTTTTTTTTAAATCTTAACCCAAGAAATTAACAAAGAATGGTGGCTTTAGCAAGGAACGCCTCCTCCAGGTTTTCTTCTTGAAATTCGTGAACACTTTTTCCAAGGAAATTCCAGTGGACCCTCCCTAAGTTACCAAGAGCTCTTCCTTTTCCAGAGAGGTCTCATCTCCCAGCTGCTTCTAAGATGTCTACAGTCCTGGAGGGTAAAATTTCTCTCCTTTGCTGGTTGCTCGGATCTGCTTACCAAAGTGCAAATTGTCTCCCTCTTGTATTAAAGAAAAAAGTTGCCCCCCCCCACAGCTGTTATTTTATCATATTGCAAATAAACAGAAGTACACATTCAAATCATGAATTATTTGGGCAAGATATTAGGAAGGAGTGGAGAACAACTAATATTAAGGATTTGTCTGGGAGGATCATATATTTGGTCCGAGTTTAAATTGACGAGTACAAGCAAGGATGATGGAATCGTTGGCCATTTATTTGACTGTATGGAGGTTTTGCCATGTCTGTAAGTCACATGAAACGCGTGTGGCACAGTTCTAAAATGGGAAAGTGTCTTCCTGTACTGTAACAGAATGAGCCTTAAGGATTTGTGAGAATAAGCACTTTTATATTTGACAGTAAAAACTGATGCATCAGTGAAAAGTACTTTTTTAATATCTCATTAAACCTTGAAATCCACATCACTCTGTCTCACAAACATCCTACTGTCTCTTCCTAGAACCTCTTCCAAGTAAAATGTCCTTTCTCTTGTGTTAGAGGATTTTGTGTTAAATGTCATCCACTTGTCACAGGCTATCTTTTCCTCTACAAAAGTCTGAAGCCTCCTGAACTGGAAGAATGGATAAAAGCATTTTAAAGAAAGGGGCACTGATCTAATAATGCTTTTGGCAGGAGAAGTTAAGTGTTAGTTCGAAGTAAAAATAAAGCAACCTGTGACGGAGTCTGGAATCATCTTGCTAAGAGTTTTTGATTGTTGTTTATTGTTTGCTTGTTTATATGTCTGAGCTTTGTTTATTAGCTGTTATATGATTTAGTTTGAACACAAACGGCAGACAGACATTGAAAATGGTCCATACTGAAGAACTGAACTGAAAGGTAACGTAAGCCTATGTTTCTTTTTCCCTTTTCTTTCTTGTGTTTGACTTTTTAGGGAACTTTTGAACCATTCTCCACAAAAGCAGCACTGTTATAGGTTCCCACCGGCAGTATATGTGAGTTCCAGCTTCTCCACATCCTCAACACACGTTACTGTCTTTTTATAGTGACTGTTCTACCAAGTGTTACATTGTGGGTTTGACTTCATTTCCCTAATGACTAATGATGTGTGTGTGTCAAAGCGTTAGTCGCTCAGTCCTATCCAACTCTTTGCAACTCCATGGACTGTAACCCACCAGGCTCCTCTGTCCATGGGATTCTCCAGGCAGGAATACTGGAGTGGGTTGCCATTCCCTTCCTCAGGGATTCTTCCCAACCCAAGGATCAAACCCAGGTCACCTGCATTGCAGGCAGATTCTTTACCGTCTGAGCCACCAGGAAGAATCCAATGACTGATACTGAGGTGCTTATTGGCCATTTTAAAATCTTCCTTGGAGAAACGCCTATAAATTACCCATTTTTAACAGATTATTTGTCTTTTGCCTTGTTGAGTTGTAAGGATCTCTTTTGTGTTCTGGATATGAGTCCCTGATCAGGTGTAAGATTTGCAAATATTTTCCTTCTGTGGTCATTTGTTCACTTTCTTGATAGTATCCTTTTGGGTACAGAAGTGTTTAATTTTGATGAGGTGCAAGCTTTCTATTTGAAATTTGTCTCTTGTGCTTTCATCATATCATATATAAGAAGGGTTTGCCTAACCCAAGGTCATGAAGATTTACTCTTCTATTTTCCTCAAGTAATTTTAAATTTTTAGCTCTAAAATTTAGATGTAGGATCCACTTTAAGATGGTTTTTGTATGTAGCATGAGAAAGGGGTCCAGCTTCTTTCTTTTGCATGTGGATATCCAATTGTCTTGGTATTCTTTGTTTAAAATACGGTTCTCTCCCCCAGAAATAAACCTTCTAGTGTGTAGTCACTTGATTTCAGACAAAGATGACAAGACAATTTAAGACCCCTGTGTCTTTCCTATCACAGCACCTCACTGTCTCAATTACTGTAACTTTGTAGTAATTTTTAAAATTGGAAACCCTGAGTCCTCCAACTTTGTTCTTCTTTTGTAAGTTGTTATAGGCTAAAAGTGGCCTCTTATTTAACTATCAGTTATGAATTAACTTTAATTAATTAATTAACTGTAAATTCACTGTTTCAATCAGGCGACATCTAACCCAGTTGAAAAACAAATAATGTGTGCCTTAGCCTCATGGCTGAAGGAACTGTAGGAAAAGTGCAGAATGGGTTCATGAGCCAGCCACAGCCTGCCCATTCTCAGTCCCTGTTCTCCAAGAGATGTAGCCCACACTGGGGTTCTTGGGCTGGTATGTGGGTATCCTGCTCCAAGCTGGAGCATTTGATATACGTAATAGTGTTTCTGCGGGTACGGTAGAGGTATAAAGTTGTTCCAGACATTCTGTGCCTCCAGAGTCCTGCAGCCCCTTTCTGCCCCAGTGCTCTGTGCTCAGACACCCCAGTACCCAGTGTGGACCTAGTACCTTGGCCATCCTGTCCCACTCAAAAGATGCTACCTGGGTCGGTCTGCCCGAGGCCACCAGACTTCCCAGTGCTTGACAGGCAGGCTTGACCCCCACGCCTCTCTGGGACTTTTGCTTCATACCCGGTTCATGTCTTTCTGGCCACTTTGCCTGATCTCTCTGGAGTCTAACAGATTTTCCTGTGATCATCAAGGTTGTGGGTTTTGCCTCATTGCTAGTGTATGGGGACATAGAACAGATTTTGAATCTATATTTTAGATGCTTAAACACCCATGGCTGATAGATCTTCTTGAAAGTTTATTCCTTTTATCTACATGAAATATACTTCATCGTCTTCTTAAGCTTCTGCTTCAAATTCTATTTTGCACCATATATGGTGTACCATATATATAGCACCATATATTATATATGGAAATGCATCATTTATGATAACTTGCCTGTATCTTTTCCCATCCTAGGATCTCTTATTATCCTATGTGGTTTTGCTTTAGATTTGTCCCTCACCTAGGTTACAACAGCATATGGTTGAATGTAGGGTTTACCCACTGTGAGCACCTCCACATTTTTAATAGATGAATTTAACAGAGCCAGATTGGTTGTGACTTACTGACCTGCCATCTCACTGTGTGTTCATTTGCCACAGTTTTCTGTAGCTTCTCTCTTCTATCTGTTGTTGGATGGATCAAGTTGTATTTATTTTGCTTTCTCCTACTGTCTTAAGGACTCCTCAGAAAAGAGAGGAAAGGAACCCTATTTCAACATCCCATTAAATTAGGATGAAGACCCGGAGCAAGACCACTGACGGGCACAGGAATTTCTGTCTGGGTGATGAGAGTGTCCTGGGGTTAGACACTGGGGACAGTTGAACAGCATTGTGGAGACACTAAAGTCTCCTGAATCATACCCTTTAAAAGGATAAATCTTGTGGTATGTGAATTATAGCTCTATGTTTAAGGTATTGACTCCCCATTTGCTTTGTGGCTTTTTTTTTTTTTCCAGCATGTGGGATCCTACTTCCCCAACCAGGGATTGAACCCCCGACCCTGACCCGCATTTGCAACTTGGAGTCTTAAAAACTGGACTGCCAGGGAAGTCCTTCTTGTATCATACTCCTTGAGTTAATTCTTCTTTCAGATCAGGTCTGAGAGAGATGTCAAATGCTTGAATCCTTGCATGTCTGAAAAACATCTCATTTTGGGTCCTCACACTTGTCTATTGTTACACTTGTGGAATACTGATTCCCAAGGATTTTCCTCAGAAGTTTGAAGCTATTTTCCCAGTTTTTCCTCATATCCAATGTTATTTTTGTAGTTATGTAGCTGCTCCCTTCTCTACCCTCCTCCTCCTACTCCCAGAAGCCTTTAGGGTTTTCTCTTTATGCTTGAGCTCAGAGATTTCACTGAAATTGCTGATAAGAGTCTTTCCTTCGGTTTGACCTTGATTCTGCTCAGCTGTCTCCAGGACCCACACCTGTCCTCAGTCTGGGATCTGCCTTCCGTTCCTGCATGAGTGACCTCTCCTCGCCGTGTTCTCTGTTCTCATCTCCTGAAGACTGGTTAAATGAATGTTGGCAACTGTGGGGTTAGTCCTCCCATTCTCTTAACCACTGTTTATCCTTTCTGTATCCTTGTCCATTTTTGCTATTCAGAGAGCATTCCTATGCTCAGCCTTTCAACTTACTCTCTTATCAGCTTCAGTGCTTCTGCCCATTTACTGAGAATTTTATTTCAATCATCAAATTTTTCATTTCCAAGATCTCTAAAACATTCCTTTTTATGGGTGCAATATCATTTTATTTCTCTCTGAGGATTCTAATTATATATGTGCCAAATTCTTGTTCTGTTTGCTCTATTAACTCTGCTCTGTGGGTGTAAACTTTTCCATTTGTTGGGGTTGTAACCTCTCTTTCATGGCTTTTTCGAATGTTTAGGGGTCATTGGCTGCCTGCTCCACTTCACATCTGGTTCTCAGCCTCTCTGCCAATTCCTCTTCACTGCATCTAGTCTCCTGAATGTAGAGAGCATTCCATCCCTCCTGGGTGTTGCCAGGGCCTCACCTGGCCTCCCCGTTATGACTGTCTGAACCCCGTGCTCCATACTGGGGGACTGAGACCTCTACTGCTGGCTTCTCAACCTTCAGGGTGGAGGGCTCCTCTATGGTGA